AAATAGTAAACACCCCGGAGATGGGGTGTTTCAGCTGCTGCACTCTGGCAGAAGTGATATCATGTGTTTTTTCAGCTCTAGGTCATGTGCAATAACTATTCATGCAATTCGCAATTTACATAACTGTGCAACCGATTCCTTACAGTATTACAATAGGTTTGTTTCTGTCCTCAACACTATTTCCTAGCTCTTATTGTTTGATGTGTAAAATACAACCAGTGCTTTATCCAAACTCCGACTATCAGCCTCCCTCGCCACTTTCTGTCTTTTCAAAAATAAAGAAATATAATTTTTCTGTTAAGTTAAAGCTGTCTTTCTTTTCTACAGTTATTTATATTTTGTAACTTTGCTGCACACTGTGTGGCTTTAGATTAAGGCTGCGAATGGACAAGCAATCTTAGATGACATTTATTTTAGATGAATCAAATTCAACATTAAAGTTGGGTGTGTAAATTAAGATATAGGATGCAGCCAAACTCAGTTACACCAACTTTTCATCATTTTGTGCTCAACACACCCATGTCAGATTTATGCTTTGCTTGGATTTTTTTAGGATGTACTTATGTGGAAAAGGTTACGAAATTTTTATTGTGATCTTGCAAATTGTTTATTTTATAGTCAGCTCATGGTTGCATGACATGGGTTTACGGTATTAACAAGCATGATCTAACCAAATTATCTAGGAATCAGCTTCTGTGGCTGATTTATAATTCCTTCCTGTTCTGCTTTCCTTGGAGCTGACAGCCAAAACTGCACTACAGATTTCCTCTGACATAATAAGCAGATTTACAGTTATATTGTTAAGATTTCCTGTAGCTGTTGGTTTCACAGTGAAATGGCGTGGTTATAAACTTGTCATGATCTAAGTGTGGTAATGAAACTTGCCAGGAGATTGATGTTTTCATCACTGCTTTAGTAAGACATATTCACCCCAAACCTCTGACGTTTAACCTACATTAATGGGAATTTATGTTGACCAGCATAAATTACTGAAATAACGGTTTATTCGTTATGCTGTAATCATGAATTAGTGTTTCCTTGATGTTTTAGCCGATCTTCAAAACTGGAAAGACAAGAAAAAAAGCCAGTCAAGTAAAACTGTCTCCCAGACGCTACAGCATTAAATTCATTCCAGGCCTTGTTTATTATTTCTGCAATTGGGAAGGGTACTAAAGGTCGGGAGGAGCTCCAAAACAATGCTTGTGGGAAACAACATGAACATAGTCACAAGTAATTAATCTGAAAATATAACTACAGTAGGTGTTAAAAAAGTTGAAACAGCAAATGACTCTACAGAACTTCTGCTTTTGGTATAAATGTATTCTCCCTACTTGACCATTACGCTTACTGGCAGCAGCATCTAGTAAATGTTTACTGCGCAGAAGTGATGAAAGTATATTTACTGGATGTTAAAGGGGTGAGAAAAAAAACACAGCTGAGTTTCTCATGTATTTGCAGAAATACAGCAATAACCATCACATAGTTGATCTGAAACGGGCTTAAATTAAGTGTGACTTTGAAAGTTGCAGTGTTTTTTTCAGGTTTTTCAGTAGACACAAAAGATTTTCACGAAAAAATTCACAGCATTCACGCCCGCATTAACACTACAACGTGTATTTTTCAGCAACATCTAAAAATAAGACTGCAGCAACATGAGCTGCTCCCCCATTGCAACAATGAGGAGCCTATCATATACAAATGGCTTCTGCAACATCCGCTTCAGTGTTCCTGTGAATTGATGACAAGTTTGTTTACATTAGAGATGCATAGATTAGGATTTGGGAGCTGCAAATCCACAAATTGTAGACGTTATAATTCTTCAATATTGGTGCCTCATGTACATTGAGGTGGTATTATTAAGTATATACATTTTGAAATGAGAAATTATCATGAATTGGCTACTGTTTTAGTGAAGGAGGTGGTGGAGATCAGCTTTTTGAAATCGAAATAGAAGATGGAGAAAATAATGTTTACAAAAGATGAAGTCGGAAACGCTCTCAAGAGGTCTAGAAGTGGCTTTTAAAAGAGCTGTTTTAAGTTAGCCCCCGTGGACTGTTTCATCATCCTACCTCCAGTACAGACACCGGCGAGCTGCCAAATACTCTCCCCTGCTCTGCCACTCTATGTGCCTAGCAGGCTCTTCTGATCCTAAGCAGTTGTCTGTCCATCACCAGCAGTTAGACTAGAGGCTAGCCTTGGCCTGCCACTGTCTCCCTGGCAGACTTCTCCAAGGTACTGCTGTCCTCCTCCCGGTGATCTGAAGCCCCTGTCCCTCACCTTCAGTTGTTTGTCTGCGAGCAGACTTATCCGATCTTCCACTGTCGTCCTTTCATCCTCTGCAGTTTACCTCTATAGCTAGCCTGGACAAGCTTTGGCTTCTTGCTTTCCTGCATTAGCCCAGTAGACTTCTCTGATTTACTATTATCATACTCAGCTCTCTTCCTGAGCTATTCTCTACTGCTCTGGTTTCTTAGCTACAGAGGGGGGAACGGCTGACTGGCTCATCCCGGTTCTGTTTCTCTTTCAGCTGGCGTTCTCACGCTGATTTCATGCCCCTGCTGTCTGAGCATCTCACCTCACCTCTGTTGTATGGGTGATTTGTCCCCCTGGTTTGAGCACTCTGACCAAACATAACCAAACATGGACCGAGTGCAGGACAAAAATGCTTGTTTCCTCAGAGAAAAAAAATAATCAGGAGCACAAGGACTGGTGCTTGAAATCGGTCATCTACAAAATGACCAGCTGGTTGCCGACTGTGGCCAATCATAAAAAATCTGCCAATTTCCCTGCAAGACCGGTGCAAGTCTAGTTTACATAGATAATTTGGTTGCATTAAGTTGCATTTTATTAGTCTGTGTAGGATAAAGATTTTATATAATGTGATAACATTTAAGATGTCTGCCTCCATAAATGCATGACCCGCTCCTTTTTAATCATAAATAGCTATTTCTACAGCAACGCAAACTTAAGACCGAGACTTTCAGCTTGTAGACAATAATAAATATAAAATATTGTCTTATAATATATTCCATTTCTGTCTTAAAATCCTTTTAATTATGTCTTTGTCTGTCTTTAAAGCCGGACTGGAAATGCATGATTCGCTTGACTGGTGATTTCCTCCATTTTACAAGCAGTGACCAGCATGAAGAAGCGATTTAGGCAAAAAAAGAAAAAAATTATTTTGGTCATTATTTAAAGGCACACTGCAGACTTTGTGACCTAAAGAGTTGATGCATATGAGTTATTTTTAATCATTCGTCAGGCCGATATAAAGCACTGGACATTTTTAACGCTATGAGTGGGGCTCCCCTCGTGAAATATTGTGTATGTAAGTCTGGAGAAGACGCACCGTTGCTGGCCAGATCATGTGAACTGGAAGAACACCCGTCGGACCCAATAGCTCTTCACTGGATCTCCGCCGCTGGTCCTCTGCGTGGCATGGTCCAGCCTGTCCCTGTGGTGCTCTTCACAGAGCAGCAGCATCTCTCATGCCTTCCGAGCTGAACCTAGACACCTAGCGCGTTCCCAAATCAAAAGACACGGGAGACTGGCCAGCTGACTGTTTACTTTTGCAACAGTTCTGCAGCGTTCCTTCACAGTGCTGGTGGCCACTAAAACCGGGCGTACACTGTGCGATTTTTTTCAATCGTTGCACTGCTCACACTGTACGACTAAACCGCAGGGTTTCGTCGTACATCGTAAGTTCAAAACTCACAATTTATGTTTGGCCAAACGCTCTGATGCGATCTACCTGCTCACACTGTGTGTCTAAAAACCTTGTGTGACTCAGCTCTGCAGTGAGATGGAGCTACTTTGACTCGTCTATCCAGAAGCCAAACAAATAGAAGGGGTATATGAAGCTAACTAGAGTGAAACGCACTGCCTTAGCAATTTGTGCAATTTTGTGCTGAAAGCCCTAAAAATAAAAGCCTGGGACGTAGCTGGACAAAGACATGGCTGAGCAAACATGGCTACTACAGTTTGTAAATTTTACAGAAAAAGAAAAATCCTTGTTTTTGCATGCCCACTGAGCGATTTGCCCACGACGGTCGGGAGAAAATCTCCTGAACCCATGATTCCAGATCGGGAGGTGGTGCTGAGAGGCTGATCGCCCCTCGCAACCCCCCTGTACACTACACGATGCACGATCAGGCTGAAAGTCCGCCCGATCGAAATATTCTCATACGACTGGAAAATCGCCCCGAAAATCGCACAGTGTACGCCCGGCTCAAGGGCGCTAGATGTGAAAGTTACAAGTCTAGCACCCCTAGTGGCCAAAAGTAACATGGTGTGCCTTTAAGGAAGATGATGATAAGGATGTTATTTATTCTCATTAACGAACTGAAAGTCTCACTCTCCTTATGCTTGCTTTGCCTTGGAAATTTCTATTTATGATTACATTGAGCGGTTCGCACATATATGGAGACAGACATCTTGGCGCTATGGCAGTGCAGAGCGGAAAAACTGGTGACTTTAGTGATTACTATTATACTCAAATAGGACAGCAGAATGTTAGACCTATATACAATCTTTATCCCACATAAACTAATACAATATTTTTATAAAATAAGCTATGTAAACAAACCTCGTCATCACTTCGCAAGATAGGTGACTCGGATGTTGCTGGAGCCATAATGTATCATGACGGTCACTGTATTGTTGTGGGGTCGAAGTGGGGGTGGGGAGGGGGGGTCATGCTGCTGCAGTCTAACCCTTAGATGTTGCTGAAAGTTACACATTGTAGTTTTAAATTATATGTCTGGTTTCAGTTATTCAAACCTAACATATAAAGGTTCTAAATCTCCCCAGAAATTATTTACAATATTTATTCGTAAAAAAAAGTAATGGTTTATTTATTTTTTGTTTATAAACACAATCTACCAATACTGTATGAAAACCTCATGAGTCAGAGTTAGGGAGAAATCCCAGCCATCAGTTTCTATTTCTCCTCCCATCTCTCTGTAAATAAAGGCTGCTGCGTCCAAACAGAAAGTATTCATTTAGTGAGCTCCAGCAGTGACACAGGATGCTACTGATCATCACAATCATCTGTTTGGCTTTCAAAGGTAAGAATTTTTTTCATATAACTTGTTGAATCCTGGCTATATTTTATAAAACAACAAATAAAATGTTCCATGTTTAACTTATTTTCTATTTGTGATATTCGATCTAGTTGTATTCTTTATATTTGTTCATTTGTATCCAAGTTGTTGATCTAAGATTTTCTTATCTATTTTATTTGTAATATTTTTGTTGCTTTTATTGATATATAATTACAGTATGGAATAATATTAATATTTATTATTTATAATAAGCAAGGATACTTTGATAAAACTAATCATATATTATCATTATTATTAATAATTCTAGAATAGAATAGAATTGAATTTATTGTTCTGTTGTGGGAAAATTCAAGTGTAACAACAGCAAAGCGACAATTTGATCTGCTTGTCAGCATGCAGATACACACTAGGTAAAAAAAGACTGTTAAAAAAAATGTGAACAAGAGACTTTACAGTAAGGCCAAATTGTCAGACCCACAGCAAAGAAATGTGCAACAGCTTGGTTGTTTAAAATGTACAAAACATTAATACAGATTTGTGCATGAAGAACTATTTACTATTTGCTTTGAAAAAAACAGCAGGGATCAAAGATCTGCCAAGTTTGTTGGAAGTTGATTTGGGTATAAAGTTTAAGAGCTGCTTGGAAGGATTTTTATTACAGAATTCTGTCATGTGTGTTGACCATTTTCACTTTAGAGCATTTTTACTCCTTTTCCGTGCATAGTCAGAACTTGCTGATAATACAGCTTTTCTCTTTTAAAGCCCAAGCCTCTGAGATAATCTTTGATGGGGGAAACACAGCCAAGTATGGAGAGGAAGCAATCTTCACCTGTACACTCCCAGACCCTAAAGGTAAATCCTTATTCACTACCTGGAAAGTCATGAGTTTTTCTTGTAAACTGACTATAAACAACTATGAATCTTTAAAAGGTTACCAGTGACGTACTGACTGTTTTTTTTTTTCCACTACAGGTGTATTGCAGGTCACTTGGCAGCGGGGCCTTAAACCTGAGTCATTGGAAAACCTAGCAACATATAGCAACCGTTTTGGGAAGCAAGTAAATGAACCTTTTAACGAGAAAGTGAGCTTCAGAGAATCAACTCTAAGCACGTCATCCATTATCCTGAAGAACATAACCTGGGAAGATGAGAACTGTTATGTTTGTTCTTTCAATGCCTATCCCGATGGGTCCAAAAGGAAGCAAATGTGCCTAACTGTGACAGGTGAGCTGTTGCTTGTTGGAGTATCATCACTCTTCAGAAAGTCAAAATAGTAAAAAAGAAAAGATATAAAGTCATGGTTTCCAATTGTCCATGCAGGAGTATTGGAGTTCACATCCGCACAACAGTCAAGCGTCCTTCGTGAACAGAAAATAAGAAAGGAAGTGCTCAGCTGTTCTGCCACTGGGAAACCTGCACCGACAATTACCTGGGAGATCCCCATCAACATCTCCAAAAATGCCGTCCCACAGAAAGATACGGACAGGAAGAGTGATGGGACTTTTATCCACAATACCAGCATTGCAGTGGACATACCTGCAATCTGGACAGGACATATAGACTGTGTGCTAAATAAAGGACAGCCAGGGGAACAGCGGAAAACATTTGATTTCTCTTCAATAGAGCAGGAGGAAGGTATGCATGCTGGACTCTGAGTTTTGCAAGCTGTCATGTAGAGACTTGTAGCTGTAAATGGGTTGTGTCCTAACATGCTATATGATTAAGAGGCAATCAGGGAGTGCCAATACTTAGGATGTTGAGATCTTGGATCTCCCATTGAAAAGGTAATAAATACCTGGGTCAGGTTCAAGGAAGTCCCATGAAAGCTTAAGAAATTCCCTGATAATTCTTGCTGCCTGGTAGTGACGTCAAATTTCCCCTGAAGCATTTCCCTGATGGTTATCATAACGCCCACTAGGTCAAAGGCTCAGGAAATCCCGGAAATTCACTTTGACTTTATTTCCCTTTGAACAACTGCCTGATTCATGGTGTAGATCTAGTCCTGGAAGTCTGAAGACAAAGTTAAAAGAGTCATACTTGTTCTCAGTCAGCTGAGCTGTGACACATAAGGCTTCAGTTTCACTTGTAGCTGAGTTTCATGTTACTGAAAACCCCATGTCACAGTACACTGTGCAGTGCTGGTCACACCGGCTGCGGGTGTTTATCTCAGGAGGTTACTGAACTGACCCCAGGGATTCATTATCAAATGTTTACCAGTAAAAGTAAAACAGAGAGGGATTCCCAGCTTCCTCTTTTTTTGGAAATATGATTTAGCTCGTTTCTGCGCAGACTTACCAAGTGTTGTTTCTCTTCAGGTAATCAGTCACCGATTATTCTCATCATCGCAGTTCTACTTATCATTATCTGCATTGCTGGTGTTATAGTTTTGATCCTTCACAAAGGGTGAGACATTTCACTTCCAATAAGCAGACATTTTATTTATAGTTATATAATGGTTCACATGCATGATTGCCAACACTTCTGTTTTCTTTTTTTTAGGAGTTCAAAGAGAAGAAGCAACAATGATCAAACTATAGTTTGATCCGCTTTAAGGAGCAGAGCATTCCAGCATTACACCAGTGATGTGAATAAGCTAAGAGCAGCTGCTTTCCTTCCAGAGCCACCGGAGTTTGGACAATACACTGAATTTAACCTGCATTAGATCACATTTCTCTCAAACTGCGTCACTTTGCACTTTAACTTGGAGCTTGTCTACTTGTTTTGATGAATGTAAAAATGACAGCGTGAATATGATACTATGACAGAGGCTGTGAGGGAGGAATAATGCATCAGTCAGGATTTACATTTAGAAGCTCACGCTTTAATGCAAACTGAGCCTTTATTGCCATCTAGTGTCCTATTTTATTTCTGCATAAAATTCCTACAAAATGTTTTACCTCAGTTCAGTAGAACAGTTTTGTTCTTAAATGTTTTTTTTTTCAAGATGGTTGTAGGTTTTTCTATCCTCTTGCATTTTGTACATGGTTTATAGTGGTATAAATGTTATTTATTGTGTGCAAAAGGAATGAAAAACTATTAGAACTGTACTTATAAAAGATAGTGTTGTCCCTGATAAGTCATATTTATGTTGATGTCATTTTATTATTTATTCTTTAAAAAATATTTATTGACAATTGGTTTAAATAAAATATGTCAAGTTTTAGAAATGATCTTACTTGTGACTAGAGGTTTGTTTTTCTCTTTGTCAAATTAAAGTCCTTAAATGTCATTGTTTCATTTTGACTCACTTCTGACGCAAATGTACAGTTTGCTCAAAGACATCCCTTTTTTTTTGCAAGTGCATGGCTATAGGATTTAGACCCTTTATGGGTGTTGATCAGTACAATAAATATAGATTTATTCTTAAAAAATTATCACTATGATTAATATTTGATTTCTATTTCGTAAAGTTCCTCTCTTTAAATCATGGCCACTTGAAAAACCTTCACTTCAGATACCAAAGCAGATACCAAAAAAACTCAATTGATTTATCACACATAAACTATTTGAAAACATAAAAACACCCTATTCTTATCCCTCTATTATCAAAAGATATTGGACTATTTACAAGCATTAAACTTTTGATTCAACAGTTTTATTGCAGTTTCACCTGCATCAAACATGGATCTAAATATAAAAACATTAGATTTGACATTTAAAAAAAATCATATCGGTTATTGTTTGGTTTTGGTCTGCAGAGAAGATGATTGGCTTCAATCTTCCGTCTCTCCAGGATCTGCACGCCTCCAGGACTCTGAGGCGTGCAGGGAAGATTGTGGCTGATCCCTCGCACCCAAACTACACTATATTGCCAAAAGTATTTGCTCACCTGCCTTGACTCACATATGAGCTTAAGTGACATCCCGTTCCTAATCCATAGGGTTCAATATGACGTCGGTCCACCCTTTGCAGCTAGAACAGCTTCAACTCTTCTGGGAAGGCTGTCCACAAGGTTTAGGAGTGTGTTTATGGGAATTTTTGACCATTCTTCCAGAAGCGCATTTGTGAGGTCGCACACTGATGTTGGACGAGAAGGCCTGGCTCTCAGTCTCCGCTCTAATTCATCCCAAAGGTGTTCTATCGGGTTGAGGTCAGGACTCTGTGCAGGCCAGTCAAGTTCATCCACACCAGACTCTGTCATCCATGTCTTTATGGACCTTGCTTTGTGCACTGGTGCACAGTCATGTTGGAAGAGGAAGGGGCCAGCTCCAAACTGTTCCCACAAAGTTGGGAGCATGGAATTGTCCAAAATGTCTTGGTATGCTGAAGCATTCAGAGTTCCTTTCACTGGAACTAAGGGGCCAAGCCCAGCTCCTGAAAAACAACCCCACACCATAATCCCCCCTCCACCAAACTTTACACTTGGCACAATGCAGTCAGACAAGTACCGTTCTCCTGGCAACCGCCAAACCCAGACCCGTCCATCAGATTGCCAGATGGAGAAGCGCGATTCGTCACTCCAGAGAACGCGTCTCCACTGCTCTAGAGTCCAGTGGCGGCGTGCTTTACACCACCGCATCCGACGCTTTGCATTGCACTTGGTGATGTATGGCTTGGATGCAGCTGCTCGACCATGGAAACCCATTCCATGAAGCTCTCTGCGCACTGTTCTTGAGCTAATCTGAAGGCCACATGAAGTTTGGAGGTCTGTAGTGATTGACTCTGCAGAAAGTTGGCGACCTCTTCGCACTATGCGCGTCAGCATCCGCTGACCCCGCTCCGTCAGTTTACGTGGCCTACCACTTCGTGGCTGAGTTGCTGTCGTTCCCAAACACTTCCATTTTCTTATAATACAGCTGACAGTTGACTGTGGAATATTTAGGAGCGAGGAAATTTCACGACTGGATTTGTTGCACAGGTGGCATCCTATCACAGTTCCACGCTGGAATTCACTGAGCTCCTGAGAGCGACCCATTCTTTCACAAATGTTTGTAAAAACAGTCTGCATGCCTAGGTGCTTGAATTTATACACCTGTGGCCATGGAAGTGATTGGAACACCTGATTCCAATAATTTGGATGGGTGAGCAAATACTTTTGGCAATATAGTGTATTTCAGTCACTTCCCTCTGGCAGGAGGCTGCGGTCCCATCAGGACCAAAACCTCACACCACAAGAACAGTTTCTCCCCATCCGCTACCAGCCTGATCGACAAGGCCTAGAGATCCCTGTGACACTGCCTCACTCCCTCCCCGTTTAGAACCTAGAAGCTACACTAACATCACATCTCCAGACCTCCTGCGTTACATTAACGCACAGCCTACTGTGTATATGATAAATAGTTACATACAATTCATTGTATATAGTATAAGGTATGTTTTTTTTATCATATATAACAAGAAATCCTGTATTCTGTATATATCTATATATACTGTATATATCTATTTTGTCTTCACCATCAACACCAAGTCAAATTCCTTGTACGTGCAAACATACTAGGCAATAAATCTGATTCTGATTCCGGTTAATTGACATAGCCATTAGATGGCGCATTTGTATTCCTTACAGCCGAATAGTTAGATATTGAAAACTGAAAGTAAAAGTATTACCTTTGCCAGTTTGTACCAGTACGTCTAAAAAAGGGGATCAACAGGAATTATAGTATTAAAATACATACTGTAGAAAGCCCTGCAAAATAATAAACTTGTACTGTTGAGTTCCTATGAGTTTCTTTTGATTATCATTATCATTTTAATGAATGAAGATGAAGTGTGATTCAATTTTGCTTGTTGCTTGTTATTGATAATGCAAGCTATTGGTTTAGTCCAAATTTGATTTCCTTGACTCAATACTTTGGGCGGCAAAATTGAATCGATGGCGTGCAGTGAAGTTTCCTTTTTTTTTATTCTGCACTTTCTTCACATAGGTGAGAGAGACTTTGTCTGTTTTAAATTCGCATAAGGTTGTTGAAGCATATTGTGAATGTGTTTCTTTTGTCTGATTACTTCAGTATTGTAACTCTGCACTTGAAATGAGAAAAAAAGTGTTAAAAAAGTAAACAGACACAAAAGTGGTGAGTGAATTAGGAAGAGAATTAAAAGTTATTTCCCTCTAAGATTATTAAAGTATGTCTGGTTCTGATTCTGAACTTATTAGAGTACTTTGATTTCCTGATAATGTAAGTACAAATGTAAAGCCCTTAACTGAATAACCTAAAATAGGTTGCTGTTAAGTTTTCCTGCAAGATAGTGATTCAACATATTAAATCAATTCCACAATCAACCTTCTTTCATTCCTAATGCTTCAAAAACCTGAGCTGAAGAGATAATTTTCCATTATTTAAGCTTGTGGGACTTTGTAGCCGAGGACCAATTGTTAACTTACAAGCAAATGCGGGTCTTACAGTCTAGCTGGGAGGTAATGCTCCTGCAGTTTTTTCTGCTTGATTTTTAAAAAAGCAATTAATTTAACTTCTATACAGCTGCAGCAGCTGTGGTCCAAACCCCGCTGAACGTCTTAGCAGCAGAGGGGGAAGATGCTCCTCTCAGCTGCCAGCTCCTGGAAACTAAAGATGTCCAGCAGGTCACCTGGCAGAAGGTATTTGGGAGGAAAGAGAGGAATATCTGCTCCTACAGCGAGTATTTTGGTCAAACAGTGAATCCTGACTTTAAAGATAAAGTCCAGTTTACAGAAGCTGGACTGAAGAATTCCTCCATAGTTATCAGGAATGTTACAGAGCAGGATGAAGGATGTTATCTCTGTTTGTTCAACATCTACCCTGATGGAGCTCTGATAGGGAGAACCTGCCTGAAGGCTTATGGTAAGAACCAGACTGTATTCCAGGATTAACTTCTATAACTAGATGTTGATCATGATGTTTGTTCTCCTCCCAGAGATGCATGAACCCATCCTTGATGTCAGCAGATCAAAGCCTCCTGCAGAGTCAGTTGTGTCCTGTTCAGCCACAGGTCGACCTGCTCCCACTGTAACACTGACTGTTCTACAGCAGAACCTCAGCTTCTCCCACTACAACACCAGCAGTGTGACCCACAGCAACGGTACAGTCACCGTCACCACCACAGCTCTGCTGTCAGCTTCCTGCAGCACACAGGTTGGATGTTCAGTGTCAGTGCTCTCTGCTGCTCCCAGAGAGAAGCTGATCACCGTTCCTGGAGTTAAAGGAACATCTGATGATGGTCAAAGTGCATCATCTTATAGTGAGTATTCATGTTCATGTTCTCACCTTATAATAATAAAACTATGTTTTATGCTATTCAGAGTGGCTTAAACCTTCCCAGCTTAGCTGAGGAAGATTTTAACAGGGCATCACATTCACAAAATATCCCTTAAAGCACGGAGGTAGCAGCATCATGCTGTAGGAATGATTTCATTTCAGATGGGACAAGAAAGCTGTTAATTGTAAGCTGAATGGGCCTAGAAAAAAATGTTAGAGGCTTAATAAGACGTTAGATTGAGAGGCTGATGTTCCAACAGGTCAACAACTCTAAAGTTGCAGCCAGAGCTGCAAGACCCATTCAGTTCAATTAGGATCATTTCTATTAAAGAGCACCAGTTACAATCACAAATTATAGTTAAACAATTTTGCAAAGTAAATCAAAATTAATAACTCAATCTGACATTATTTAAGGTTGTCCGAATTATTTTTCTTTTACTGTTTGAATAAATCAGAAATATAAAATGAACAATAAATTTTTTTAAAAACAACTATTTTGTTTAGTATCGACAGCATGTCAAATTAGTGTTGTATCTGGATACACTAAGTAAAGATACTGGTATTTTTTAAAACCCCAGTAATGATTCTTACCTTAGATTGACATCCATGTGTTAGAATGGCCTAGTCAAAGTCCAGACTCTAATCCCTCTGACTTTTACCTACTTTGCAAAGAAGAATGAGTCAAAATGTGTCTGCAAATCTGTTAGGAGAGAAAACCAGAAGTACCTTCAGCTGTAACTATTAATCTGTTCTCATTTTGTTCCTTTTTGTTTTTCTTTAAGGTAAAACTCTAATCATCATCATCATACCTCTAATAGTTGTGTCGGTCTGCATCTTTATTATTTCGCTCATTATACTGTTTGTCAAACAGCGAAAGAAAAACAGGTAATAAACCTAATTTTCTACACCACTTTTGCATTATGATATAAAACAGTTAAACTCTTAGACATTCAGGAGCATTAAAACATTTCTTGATTGATTTATGTACGGTAACTCTTTAAAGCTCATAAAGCAAAACAGTTTTTTTTTTCTTTTATTCAGTGACCCTGAATGGAACAAAACACCAGTTAAATTATTACAAGACACAAATGGGTAAGAAATCATTTGTAATTAAACAACAAACCACATGTTAGAGGTTCAACATGTTTCTTCAAATAACTTTTTTTTTAATGCATTTTAACGATTTGGTTAAAACGTGTCATTCTCTGATCAGGATTTAACAGATTTCTTTACAATTTCTTTATTTAAAGGATGCAAACACCTTCAATAAGGTTGGAGAATCAGGCCAGACTGCGAAGCGCTGCCAAAGGAAGCAAAAGGAAACGTCCAGAATCCTCACCTTCAGAGGCTGAAGGACATGTTGAGGACACTGTTTTTACTACTCTCACATTTTGACATGAAAAAAATTGAGCTGTTCTGTATTAGATTGTCTGCTGAAATTGGCTGAAACTGTAAAACAATTGATTTTAGGTGTGGTTGCATAATTGCAACTGAAATAAAGTGAAAAATGTTCACAATCCTGATTAAAAGAAAAACAATTTAGATCTTTTATATGGGTTATATTTCAGTTAGATTTATAATTGATGTATCTTTGAATCCAGCAAGAGTATTTTTTAATCCCAATAGTTTAAGGAATGAACATTTAATGTTAACACTTTAGAAAAAGAAAACTTCAAACAGGATGAAACAAAGAGGATGACCTCTCAATGACCAGGGAGAACCAAATAATGAATTTATGATTAATATGAACTCAAACATGATTATTTCAACCAAAATTATTTTATTTAGTGTCATTATTGTTGCAAGAATTACAGCTGAATTAAATAAGATAACAATCCTGATAATAAGTAAAGTTAGATCTTTTATATAGGAAACATTTCCGTTAGATTTACATATCTGTACATGCAGCTATAGTATTTTTTCTAAGCATTTTGATAAATGACCATTTATTGTTTACACTTTAAGGAAAGAAAACTGTTTTTATTTTATTAAATTATTTTATTTTGTTTCATTACTTGTCTTTAATGTGTACCATTCCTTGTTGCAGCTAATACACAAAAAGTTTCCCGATTTTTTCAGTGTTAACAAGTATCTCATCTGTGCCTATATTTTATGGTTTAGAAATATGTAAAAGCTACATTTTTTATTTTAACATCTAAAAACAGCATATTTATATACCATCAAAGAAGAGGGGCTCAGCATATTTTTAAGGAAGTTTATGTACAGTTTGAAAAAAAAAGACACCACTAGATTGCGCATTTGTAACTCATTTTACTGAGTTTGAACAATTTAGTGGGGGGGGGGGGGGATAATTAGGAATACTGTGATTAAACTAGACAGAAAATTTGGCAAAACAAGATAAATTGTAGAATCAAGTTGTCATCGTAGATCTATGAATAGAGGTGTTTATTACATTTTTCTGTCTGGATAAACATATTTAATGCATACTGCTGTGTAATATTCTCAGCTTTTTGTGAATCGAAGAAGTTAAATGCTTTATTTGCACAAGTAAGTGATCAGATTACATTGATGACTGCTGATGAAATCACAGACTTGATCTCTTTTTATCAGTTATGTAATAAACTTTTGTCATTAAACTGAGATTTCAAATTTGCAATGGGTTTTCTGTCTTTTTCAACATTTTATGTGAATGCTTTGTACTCTTCTGAAAATTATGAAAATTCTGAAGGAGCTGAAACATGCCGTCTGGAAATGGCAGACCTGGAAATACAATTGTGCTGCCCAATCAGAAGAGCCTCTGCTTCAGTGATGTAGGAAAGAGGAGTGACTGTTGATAAAAAAAAAAAAGATAATGAACACCTGGAGAGCATAAGTGAGGTCAGGTAAGTTGGGAGTTCACTGATCACCTACAGAGGATTTGTTAGAATTTTAAAAAGCTTTTTGCAACTAATTAACTGTAATAATTGTGTCCTCATAAAACTATTTTATATAATATCATTAAGCTTTTAATCAAAACCATTTTTACAATGTTTTATGTAGGAATTCAGTTTCACTGAATCAACTATATATGTTTTGGTCTTTGTCTGCAAGTTTAGGTTTATTCATTCTACTTTATGTAAAGATCATAAGTATTTAAGATTATATATAAAAATGTATAAAAAAAAACTCAAGGTGCTCATGCAGTGTTTTTATGATCATAGACACAAAAAAAGTATCTCAAGCAGTAGTTAAGGATTCTTTATGTACATTATTTGGGTTGGAATTATAACTTTTCAAGTGTTTTCTTATTGGCTCACATCTATTGTAGAAAAATGTGTGCATAACTATATGTATATATTTACTTAGTATTTACTTAGAATCTGCTGATCCCCATGTGAGCTGACTCCTCCACATCTTGGTTGTGTCAAAGCCAATTTTATTCCTCTAGTGTCCCGCAAACACCTTATCTTGTTAATTTAAAGATACAGGAAGTCAGATTATTATTACCCAGATCTCCTAAAAGTTGGGTGTTGGATACCCTTCTCACATTTTTTTCCTTACCCTGTTCTAAACCTTGTAAAAAGTCAAGCTGCAGCTCTGGGAACATTGTTCAATGACCTAATTCTTTCAAATGCTGCTTTTGCCTTTGAATAAAGTTATCTTTTCTTTTTGCCCAAACAGTGTCTCACTTATTGATAATTGGAAATTTCCATAACACATCTGAAAGAGAGGTTATAAATTTAGTTTCCACACCTCACTGGTCAAAAAACAATAGGATGTAATGCAAGCTATTCAGTTTCAAAACGTCAATCAACTGCATGACAAACATTTACCACAATTAACAGGTTCCGCATGAATAAATCATATAATAGTTGGACTGCATTTAGAAGAAAGAACTGACTTAAGAAACAGCCACTGCATTAAAACTTCATAGACTCTGAGCATAATTTACATTGGAACAATTGCACAATAGTTTAAGCCAATGGATCGTTAGATAAAACTATGAGATTAGTTTCTCTAAAGGAGACATTTGGGCAAAAGCAAAAATATGCAAATCAGTCAGATATGGTAGTTGTACAGAAATATCTTTAACAGACAAGTTGCTGCACATCAAGTGTTGTTAGGTGAAAACTACACTTCCTGTAGGGGAAAATAAAGCTGCTCATGTTAGGTGTAATTTTAAACAACTAATGTTCATGGGTGTTTTTACTTAAAAAAGAGAAGTGACACAAAAAATGAAAAAGAAGCAAACAGCCTCCATCGTACGCAGAGTTATCCTTGGTTGGTATTTGAATATGTGTCTGTGATCTGATGGACAACATAGTTAATGTGGTAAATGATCGGTTTGGACTAAGACGCATTGTTAATTTTTTTATTTAAATTTAACTTTTAATAACACAAGATACTGTATTGTAAATGCATTGTGTTACAAAAGTGTTTACTGCAGTAGAAAAATAGCGCCATCAATATTCTAACACAGCACAGACAGAGTATACATATCAAGGTATACTTTAATTTATTAAGGTATGTTTTAATTTAGAAGTTGACATTAAAACTACGAAATAAAATTCTCACCTAAAGCAATACAGATTTGAAACATAATTTACAAAAAAGCATTATGTTGATTCAGTGGAGTGCCTTAGAAAAGGGGTTTAACACCGTTCATATCTTCCCGCCCTGAAGCACTTCTGTTACAGTTATCCCTTTCAAACGAAAGCTTTCCGAGAATAAGAGGTTGTCCAATCCAAACTAAGGAAGCAGAAAAATAATGACAAATCTATTGCTTATTTAACAATATAAAACTACAAAAGAGGGCATGAGAAACATTTAAAACTTTTTTGTCTAATGTTGCTTTGCATATTCAAATAAAGAACATCTAATGCAAATAGACAAAAGGTGCAATGAAAGGGCTGAAATTATGTTTTTTTCTAAAGAACAAAAGTCATAAAAGTGTACTTTAAAGCAGTAAATAACATTTTAAGACAAGAGGCTTTTGTATATACTTACAGATCTAATTTTGCCATTGCATCATTGTGGTGCTGTGGAGGGGTTTTAGCATATCTAGTGGTGATGTTGTCCTTTTAGGATGTGAAGACTCTGATATTTGGACTGGTCGGTGGTTCCCCCTGGGGTAAAGTTGAGGTGAGAGGCTTTGTGGGACTGTGGGATGTGCCTCAACTCGTGCCGCTGAGTTGGAGGTGTTGGACTGTGTCATCCTCTGGCAGCTCTTGTTGTTGATTGGCCCATTTGGGCTGTGTGGACTTTTCTTTAAGATATTTGGCCCCTAATCTCCATGAGGTTAGGGTTCATTGGGGGTCTGGGTCTGGGGTAGTTTCTGATTTGGGGCTTCTGATACACTCCCTGATGGTGGGTTGTTTTAATGGCCCACTGCTTTGTTGATGTCCCCAGGTATCCAGGCCTGGGTGCTTGGGTGTGTGTCACTGCCAGCTCACTCTGGTTGGCCCAGCCTGCTGTGGAGATAGTGTGTCTCAGGAACTCTGGGTCCCTGGGCAAGACCCTTAACTCCCACACTGCTCCCCGGGCATCACACAATGGCAGCCACTGCTCCCCAAGGGGATTGGTTAAATGCAGAGGTACATTTCTCCAACTTCAGATCAATAAAGTTCAATTATTCATTTTTATTTTTTCTATTCTTTCTACACACTCACATACTGATCTACTGGAGATGCACATACTCCATGTTGATTAAAGTGCATACAGATGAGAATCGTTTACAGAGGCTGGACATTTATGTTTAAAATATTCCTCTGTTTGTTCTTACTAATTATATTCCAATTTACTCACACACTGACTTTTACATTTCCATTTTTTTATATTTCAAGCTCACTCCATGTTTAAAGAATCCGTTCAATGAGTTTCCCTTTCTAAAATGAACAGTTTAGATATATGAAATTTTTCATAGTATTTATTAATTTATGTTCCTTTATCTCATCCTGAAATTTCCTAAACAAATTTTTCTCATTGTCAATGGTAATTTCATTCAAATTGTCCAGATAGATAAGTTGCATTCAGCCTATATAATGTGCCTGATACTTCCATAGTCCAGCATTAGAGAATTTTCCTTCTTCTTCAGCAGTCGGTGTCTTTAACCCTGAGCTCTGCCTAAATCACCCAGCCAACCAACTAAGAGACTCAGCTTTAGACCAGGAGAAAAGGGTATGCAGCTGTTTGTTTTCTGATTAAGTAGATTATTATTATTCATTATTCTCATGCAGTGGTTAAGATGTTTAATTGTGTTTGCAGTATGAAGTTTGAGTTGTTTTTAGTATTTATGCTGCACTTCTATACATAATCTGAGTCATTGTACATTGTTCTTTTTAACAGTGTAATATTAACATAAAACTGTCAATGCAATCTGGGATTTGAAATCTCTGTAAATTTATTTTTTTCCAGAGAAACATGAAGTTCCAGTCCTCTCTGTTATTCCTGACCCTGTTGTCTGCCATTGAGCTCAGCCATTCTGTTGACTTTGACAGATTTGAGAAGTTCAAAATTCAGCACATCATCGATTCTGAAGAAATGGAAAAGGGGTGTGATGCTGTTATAAACAGTAGACAGATTCGAAATGAACGTACCGGTAAATGTAAGCGTTTAAATACCTTCATCCTCCACTCTGTTGAGAATGTTATACCTGTTTGTGAAAGTGGGGTGGCTATCACTGGTAAAAATTTAAAGAAGAGCAAAGGGAAATTCCACACTGTTCTCTGTTCACTCAGTGGTAATGAAAATGATAATCCTTGCCGTTACACCTTAATAAATGAAAATGAAAATATTGTGATTGCATGTGAAGCTGGAGAACCTGTACACTTAGAGGACCCCAGAAAATATTCTCACATTAAAGTGAACTAACTGATGACGTGTAATTCTGTTTTCCATGCTGACACCAAGGTGGTTTTATGCTTCACAATTACTTGGGTGTACTATTCCAACTTTCTAACAATAAGACTATGTTCACTTGTTTAAAAAAATGTGAATTTTAAAATCAGGTTGTATTGTCATGCATGTCATATCAACCCTGAATAAAAAAAAAAAATCTTTTGCCTTGCTTTTTAAACTACAAGTGAAAAAACTAAGTTTTAAATATTGCATTTCTGTCACACTTAATCATAATAACACACACTGAAGTTTTTTGTTGTATCATGAAAAAACTTGAGCATAGAAATAGTCTTTGCACTAATTTCCAACAAATATTTATAATATAAAGCTTTCCCTAACTGTAGAAAGAAAGAAATAAAGAATAGATTATTATAATAGATTATTATAGATTATTATAGGGTTTACCCATAAAGCAACATTTTTTAAATGATTCTATTTAGTTCAAAATTTAAAGGCTTATTCATATAGATACATAAAAACTTAAGAATTTTAAGAAAAAAATGCTAAGCAGTGAAATTATTGGAACATCAATGATGCAATCATTTATTATGTGCCTTTATAGTTTTTGTATAAAAGATTCATATATTATATTGAGATAAGATGCTATTTTTAAGATATTGGCAAAGGACCATACAAATACTAAAAGTCAGAGAGCATAAAGCTTGGAAATATGTTCAATGCTTCTACTAAGTGTCAGTCATTCTGAGGGGGGTCAAAGTAAACAGATAGATTTAGTGTAAACTCCATGACAGTAGTTTTTTGTATTTTTGTAGCATAGTTATTCCCCAACTGGCCTTGATGCAGTCCTTAGTGTCTGTACTTTAAAACTAATCAACATTATTGAATTATTTTATGTTTGCTGTATTTACTGTATCTGCTTTTTGTTGAGACCCGGTCACATAGGATCAATAAAATAAATTAATATACTTAGATATTATTTTATATTTTTATTTTACATATCCAGTGTTAAAAGTATGTCTAGTGTTTTTTATTCATCCATTTTCTAAAAGATACTTTTACCTCATTAATGTGATCTTAACTTTAATGCTTGTGTGGCTATATAAGTAAACTTAAATTTCTCAAATGATGTCAATTTGATGCAGGACTTAATTGATTAAATTAATAGCATTTTTTTGTCAGTAACCTCGTTACATGCTACAGAAACTTTAGTCTTTTCCTCAAGTCAAAAATAAAATATTCTCAGCATATTTCAGGAATACAAAGATATGCATCAGTTTTCCCACCTGGAAATGGTGTGTGTATTATTTGAATATATTTATCTTTAAAGAAAGAGTCATCGACAGCCATCGACATCACTATAACTCAACTTTAAAACCCTGGTTGATACCCTGGACCTGGATGAAAACTGCCCTGCATGTTTTCAGATGTTTCCCAGTTTTAGATAACATGATTATATTAATTAACACGAATCTGATGAACTGAAATCTTCTGATTGAGGTGTGTTAAAATTATGGAAACATGTAAAGTTAGCGTTCAGGAGTTAAAAATATAAAAAAAAAAACTACTGCATTGACTGATCAGTGCTTCTGGACCATCTATAAAACAATAGATAACTCTTGTTCATTTACATAATCTTGAGGCTGCACCACGTGTTTCCTTTCTCTCCACCTTTTTTCAGTTTTCACTTTTGAATTGCACTACAATGCCACATGGAAGGAATCTATGGCTAATTCTATTTCTTTTTACCTTTGGAGGAGCATTTCAGAAAGGTGAGAATAAACACTCCCAATGCTTTTGTATACATTAGGGGGAATTTTTTTTTTATAAATAATTTTATGCATTGTTGACCAAGTGCAATGGAGTCATACTTTCACTTTATCAGTCTCTGAAGTCGTCTTTTCCCCAACTTTAATTAAATAAGAATTGGATCTAAAACCGTAATTATCAACAAATGGAATAAGTGTCTGAAATACTTTGACGTTGAAAGTTTGGTATTTCTTACGGAACCTTTCTTAGCTTAGTAAAAACGTTGTGTTCAGATCGATGTAAGCAGGTCCAGACCTGCCTTCTTGTTTTACTAGTTTAAAGGGGTGGAGCTCACCTTTAAAGATAACTGGAGTACATTTTAGATATAAATCTCCTTGTTTTAGTATCAAATATCAAATATTGTTATAATTTTTGTCTCTCAGATTGTCAAAAAAAATCTACAATTAATATCCATGTTTACTCCTTTCTTAATTTGTCTTTTCTGATTTCTAATTTTTTTTAATGCTCTTTATGGTAATTATAGTTTTTATTCATGAAAATGCCAGGATTAAACCTCTCATGAAATTAGATTATAATTTTTTTATTGAGCTGCACTTGTGGCCATTCTTTTATGATCACTCTTCAAAAACAGTCCCCTGTGTTCTATCTGCATATTAAAACTGACTATCTAGCTATCTATATTTGCCAATATGGCGAAGACACAACAATGTGGCCAAGTGAACAAGAGTGCACAGCATGTTACACCCACGCAAAGGCCCATAGAACATGAACAGAAATATTTGTGAACTGAGTAAAGGAGTCTACAGGGACAGCTGGAGTTAAAAATAAAATCCTTTTACAGCTGAGTATTTTTAAAGGAATGTGGGAGAAAAAGGGAAACTTTTAAAAATAAGTAATACATGTTTAAGTTCAGAAGATGTTAAGGAAGCTTTTTATTTACTCAGGTGCTGTGGCAGATTACTCAAGAAACTTACATAATAACATTGTCATTTTTAAATCAGTGTTATGGGGCCAAGGCAGAAGCTGCATGTTGCTGAAATGGAAACTTTCTCTGATTACTTGGATCTCAGTCGCACAAAGATTTCACATTTGACTGAGACTAAGGGGTGTGGTTATCTGCACGGTTGGCAGAGTAGTTGAGCAATAGGATTGCTTCATAGTGACATGTTTTTGAGAAACGAGTTATGCAGAAAACAACATAAAGCTTTTGTAAAAGATTTTTAAGAACAGATGTGATCAGAGAACCTGGAGCTGGTTTCAAGCTTGGGGGAACTGAAGGGAGTTTACAGTAACTGTGGGAGAGGTTATGATCTTGAAATATGAGCTAACACACCCAATCATCCATTCTGGATATAAGAATGACTGGGATCCAAATCTGAGGTTTTCTCAGCGTAGGGGTGTATTCTGGCTGAGAAGGAGCAGCGCTGACAGGACCAAAGAATACAGGAAAAACAATCCTGAGGCAGAGAAGCAGGCATTAGGCAGACCTGACTGGGAGATGGGACTTGACAACCAGAGGTTAGCAAACATTCTTAGAAAAACCAGAGACTCAGGAGACTCAGCACCAGCTGGATCCAATCAGTGTGCACTACATCCACACACACACAGCAGCACAGCATAAATATTGCCATTGACTGATAACTTTGAAATAACACAAGGCAAATTTATGGTGTGACATTTGTGCACTGATTTATAATGCAAACTTCTAGCAAGTGTCTGCTCTCTGCCCTTGTACTGTTAGGAACCTGTTGTAACAGAAACAAGAGCTTTTCAAAGGTCCCTTTGTCCACAATGGATGTGTAATAACTTGCACTGGGGAAATGCACATGCTCTATTGGCTTTGTACGTAATGCAAAGGGTTTGTTGTGACAATGGGTGTCAAGGGGTTAAAGACTACCAAAACTGTCTGATTTACTGGAAAGGAGGCAGGATATTAAATGAAAATATATTGAATTGCAGTTCAGAGTAGTTAGAGACCTGTTCAGGTGGTTTAAGGCTAGTAAAGCTAAAAAAGAAATAATCTGCAAAACATAGAGACCACTTTCTCAGAACGTAACCCCTGTACCCTTTGAAGATGTAAGCTACCGCAGCAGAAGACCACAAAGATTACCTCTCTTGTTGGCTAAGAACATGAACTTATTAGAATAATTCACACTGGTTCACTAAAGTTATACAATAAAGTCTCTAAATATGTTCCTTGTTTTTTAGAGTATTGATTTTACCAGCAGTACTAAAAAAAAAATCATGCCTTCTTCAGGTACACAAAGCACATGTCAACCAGATGAGCAAACTCCCACGAAGCCTCAAGCACCCTGCAGAGGGTGTAGAACTGAGCCAGTGTTCCATAGCTGGAAAAAAGACAAACACTGCTCTTTCTTAAGCTAAGGTTAGCAGTTGGCAGAACTCTCCTCTCCAGTCCCCCGGCATAGGCCTTCTTTGTAAAACTGAGAGGTGTGATCGCCCTGTAATTGAACCACACACTCTGTCCCCCTTTCTTGTCAAGGTCAGTCAGAACAGGGCCATTGACCCTGATGACAGGAAGAAGCGGTGTGTCATCTACTCCCAAAGCCTCACCACAATGGAGATTTCCGATCAAGTCAGCCTGGATGGTGAAAACGTCCAACACCAAACAAAAGTGTGCCCATGGTGTAACCCAGTAGGGGACACTCCAGGAGTAGGGCTTAGGGGCCCTGTACAAGGGACTATCTGATCTATATTCCTACTGCATGTTGGATCGTGGAGGGGTTACCCTCTGTAATCGGTCCTGGCCAAAAAAAAACTTATGGAGAGGATTTTTAGATGCAGCCGAGGTACGTACGGTGCTGACAGGGCGAAGCTATCGTGAGGATGAGCAGCGCCCCCATGCCGGAGTCGATGGTTCTGACCAGAAAAGGTGGTTTATCCACCTAATGTTTAATGTTTATGCATTTAGCAGACGCTTTTATCCAAAGCGACTTACAATATAGAAACAATTTCACAGTTATCCTTAATATGACAATAAGTTCTCTAGAGGAAAAATCCCTTGTCAGAATCAGTGGGGACAGCAGAGAGAGAGAGAGAGAGAGGGGGGAGTGCAGAAAGAGTAGTAGAGAGGTACAGAGGTATGGGTAAGATGTAAGACGGATGTGGTTTAAAGAGGTTGGTCCTTAAGTGTTTCCTAAAGATAGAAAGGGAGGCTGCTGTTCTCATTGTGCTTGGTAGGTCATTCCAGCCTCTTGGAACAACCCATGAAAACAGTCTGGATTGTCCTAAGCGTGGCATAGGTACTGCTAGCAGACAATCCATTCATGGCCGGAGTGACCAAGTTGTGATATGAGCCTTTGCAAGAGGGTTCAGTCAAATGGAAGCCGTCTTCAACTTCGGGTTGGAGAAGAGTTCCTGCCTCAAATGAAGGATTTAATGTCTGTATTGTCCAGTTCATGAGAAAGGGAAACAAAAAGTGGGAGATCAACAAAAGATGGTGTCACTTTCGCTTGTGGATACTACAACAGATCGGATCAAAAAAGAGCTCAGCCAAAAGGCAAAACTCTTGATTTACCGGTCAGTCTAAGTAATGTGATGTACATGTAGGCAGTAGTCCTTTTGAAGACGCCTACAGTATGCCTTGGGGCTTATTCCCAGTTCTTTTTAGCTGGACATATCAGTCTTTATAAAAATAACACTGAATAACACTTCTTATAGTCAACAACTAATACAGGACTTAAAACTTCAACATGATTTAATCTAAGTTTAACAGAGAAATGTGAGGCAGAGCACTGGGCTCATGTTATATTGGGAAGAAAACTTTTCCCATCGGTTCTCATACCTTGGTGATATCTGTAAAGTTTATAGTATGTGTCATACTTGTCTATCTTAAAGGGTGTGTCATTGTTTTAAAGTCCTGACCCACTTTAGATGGCCTGCTGCTCTTGGAGCTATGAAGACACGTGTTCCCTTTATCAACCCTGGCCCACCATTAGGGAGAGAAGAGGATTTGTTTTTTTCAACAGAGGAAAATGGGATGGAAATGAAAGCCTTCTAATACAATGGTCATCATACAGATAAGCTTACTATTGTAATTTTTTATTAACTGTTTCCTGCAGATGTAGCAGCTGTGATCCGGACCAAGCAGACTGTTTTAGCAGCAGCAGGTGAAGATGCTCCTCTCAGCTGTCAGCTCCTGGAAACTAAAGAGGTCCATCAGGTCACCTGGCAGAAGGTCTTTGGAAACACAAAGATAAATATCTGCTCCTACAGCGAGTATTTTGGCCAAACAGTAAATCCTGGCTTTGAAAAAAAAGTTCAGTTTACAGAAGCTGGACTGAAGAATTCCTCCATAGTTATCAGGAAGGTTACAGAGCAGGATGAAGGATGTTATCTATGCTTGTTCAACACCTTTCCTGATGGAGCTCTGACCGGGACAACCTGCCTGAAGGTTTATGGTAAGAACCAGACTGTATTCCAAGGTTAACTTCTATAACTAGATGTTGATCATGATGTTTGTTCTCCTACCAGAGCTGCATGAACCCATCCTTGTTGTGAGGAGATCAAATGTTTCTTCAGAGTCAGTTGTGTCCTGTTCAGCCACAGGTCGACCTGCTCCCACTGTAACACTGACTGTTCTACAGCAGAACCTCAGCTTCTCCCACTACAACAGCAGCAGTGTGACCCACAGCAACGGTACAGTCACCGTCACCACCACAGCTCTGCTGTCAGCTTTCAGCAGCACACAGGTTGGATGTTCAGTGTCAGTGCTCTCTGCTGCTCCCAGAGAGAAGCTGATCACCGTTCCTGGATTTACAGAAACATCTGATGATGGTGAGAAGAATCTCTTTATAGTGAATACTCATATCCATGTATTTCTGTACATTTTCTCATATTCATGGTTATAACATGCGGAATGTAAGTTGGTGGACCAACTCAAAGTAGTTCATAATTGTGGAATATTTTTGAATGAAAAAATTACAATGCTGAGGTTCTAGAATCCTTCAGACCCTGTATGGGCACAGCATGTTAATATGACCTAGACTTAGACAACTTTTATTGTCATTTTCACTATGGCTTGGTCCAGCAAGGTGTTAGAATTGTCTGTGAGGACAACAGCTAGCTGACCTGCACACTCCTTGAACACCTGCCCAGGTATGTTATGGGGGCCTGCTGCCTTTCTTGGGTTGACTCTTCTCAGAGTCTTCCACAATTCAGCTGTGTCAAGGTTGAGTACCTCCTCTTCCTGATGTGGTTCTTTCATTGCTGGAGTGCTTTTTAGTGCCTCAAACCTTCTAAAGAAGTTTTTGAGTTCAGTCAGCATCAGCTGCACCCACCAGGAGGGAGGGTGTGTTGCAGTCTGTGATCGCCCGTATACCTTGCCACATCCTTCTGGTGTATCTGGCATCATGGAAGAGCTCCTGGGTCTTCCGGCTTTGGTTCTGCTTCGCTGATCTGATGGCATGGGTCAAGTTGGCACATGCTGTCCTCAGTGCCTCTCTGTCACCAGACTTGAAAGCTGAGTTCCTTGCTTTTAGCGATATCCGAACCTCCTCATTAGTCCAGGGTCGTTGGTTGGCCCTGGTGGTGATGTCCTTTGTGGTGCTGATGTCCTCAATGCATATGTCGATTTAGACTGACACAGTCATGGAATACTCATCTATATTGATTTTGTTGTCATATCTAGCCACAGCTTTGAAGACGTTCCAGTCTGAGCATTCAAAACAGTCCTGGAGTTTCCCCAGGGACTGTGGGCCCCCTTAATCCACACTGTACTTTGCCCTGATTAGTTGGGGCCTGTATGCAGGAAATAGTATGACAGATATGTTATCTGATAACCCGAGGTTGGGGCGGGGAGCTGCTCTGAATGCATCTTTAATGTTAGAGTAGGCGTTTTGTCCCCGAGTTGCATAGCCCACATGTTGGTAAGAATGAGGGAGCAGTCTTCAATTTAGCCTGGTTAAAATTCCCAGCAATGATGAAAACACCCTCTGTTCTCTTCAGATTAGAGCTCAGAGATAACCTGCCCTGGTAGAGAATCTTCATGGCCTCTTTTGGATTAGCGTTAAGGGGGACATATACAGCAGTGATGCTAACCATACTAAACTCTATAGGGCAGCTAGAACGGTCGACAGTTAACAGTCATAAACTCAATGTCTGTTGATTGAGCTAGCATTTTTACACAAGTTACTAATCTCCTTTTTTGGAAGAGACCTTGTGGCAGAGATCATCCATTTTGTTATCCAGTGATGGGTTGTCGGAAAGCAGGATTGATCAGTGGTCGGTGGGAATTCCTAGCGCCCTGCCTCCTTCCGCCTTATCTTCAGCCTGTTCCATTAGTCCACTACTCTGTTTTCATGCATCTGAAACTCGGCAGTTTAATACACGGTCAAGAGTGGCTATATTTATAAGTCTGGACAAAACATTTTGTGACCGTAGCTCCAGTAGGCGGTCAAAGATGTAGAATCTATGCCTTGTTTGTAGCGTTTTTAGCTGTATATTTTGTTCAATTGTCAAAAGCTTTATCCGCCCTGATTTGACACCAAATTGGTGGTAATCCTGTAAATATAACAAACTCAGTCTGAGGGGGAGAGTAAATGCTGCAGCTTATCAAATCATAATACGTCAGGATGGTAACATCATACTTAGGTGAAAATTGGTAGAAGTAAATACAAGATAATACTAAAAGCTTTCTGGCTGCAATTTTAAACTGGAGTAGAAGATCACAGAAGCTAAATGTACCCATGTGTTAAAATGACCTAACCAAAGTGCATAGCTAAATTAAACTGAGATATGTGGAAAGAGTTAAACACTAATGTTTAGATGATCCAAATACACTTGGATGCCAGCATTAGATTTTTATGGGAGAAAAGAAACACATCTTCTTTGCTATAATAAACTTTAAATCCTTTTGTCACATAAAATTACCAAAAGAAAAGTCATAAAGGTTGTGGTCTGTTTTTCAAATTATTAAAAGAAAAGTAGGCAGGATTTTTTTTTTTTTTTACTGTGTGGTTCTGTTATTTTTATTCTCGTGGTTTTTTTTAAGGTTTGGTTGAAGACTCTGGACCTGATCACAGTGTTATTGGTATGTTAGTGTTCAGGCTTTGTATAATTTCTCTTCATTCAGTCATGTTTCTAACACCTGTTATTTTTCTGCAAAGGATGGATTGTTGGAGTGTTGGCCTTTGGAGTTTTAGTGGCTTTACTTGCCATTTTCTGGTTTAGACGAAAGAATCAGAGCAGGTACTACTATCAGAGAACTTAGCGGTTTTGTCAGTAATCAGTTTATTATTCATTTATAATTACTTAATTTATAAAACCCTTAATTTGCCACACAGGAAGTCTCAAGAAGAGAAAAACTCAAAGGAACAAATCAGCGTTATTCAGTAAGTTTTTTTATTTAGTTATATATCACTGACATTATTACATTGTTTACATATTAATATTTTAAAATTGCTTCTGATAACAATATCACATTCACTCCACCTAATGGTACGACATTTTCTTTTGAACGTCTTTGATTCAATTACTTAAACAGTCTTTGGTCTAAAACATATTTTTCTTTTTAATCAAGGAATGAGAAAATGTTTATGCCACAAAAGAACACTGAGGAGCAGAGATCTGGCCTAATGAACAGACAAACCAGCAAATCACCAACAACAAAATATCCAACAACACCTGATGTAGAAAGCTGTCAACATCCAATACTGACAGGAAAAAAATCTTCATAACCAAACCTGGTTTGTATGTTTTATACGAATAAAGATCTAATTATGTCATTTTATACTTTTTTTAAATAACCAGAAATAATCCTTTTGTGACTTTCTTTCCAATTTCCCCATCATAGATGTGTGTGTATGCATTTATATGTATGTGGGTAAATATACATATAAAAAGTGAGAGCGATGTGAAAAACATTTCTCCACTCTTCATGATTTGTGTGTTTCAATGCCTTCAATTTTCTTTTCATCAGCCACTCAGAGGTGTAATAACTTTTTTTTCTTTTTTTTTTTTTTCTTTTAGTTTTATAGGATTTCCCCTCTGCAGAATCCTCGTTGGTTTCAGCTGGAGGTCACAAACAGATGAGGACCGGACTTTCTCTTTAAGGAGTATTTATTAGACTCAGAATACTTCTACATCTTCCTGGTCCTTAAGGAGTAAAACAGTCCCACATCATCACATTACCACCACCATGTTTTACTGCTGATATGATTTTTTTTTTTCTGAAATGTGGGGTTAGTATTATACCAGGTGTAATGGGACACACACCTTTCATATTCAGCTTTTGTCATGTAAGCCAACAAAATGTTTTCCTCATAGTGTTAAGAATCTGTAGCAGTCTATTGGAATTAACAGCCAGATGCAGGGATTTCCAAACGGGTGCGGTTTAATCTTGACTTTTCCTGTCAAAGACACAGTGAAATCTGTAGCATGAAATACTGAAATAATGAAAGAATATGTAATTGTTGGACATGCTTAACCATTGTTTAAAATTAAAACATTAATGTTCACACATACAACAAAAAAGGATTTTTATTGTCCTTAACTCGTCAGCAGTTTTGTTTTTTAAATAAAAAACAAATGATGTTCTACTGCTTCAAAAATAAATGAATAACATTAATTATCACAAATCACAATGGTGCATATTCATACCTCATTCTGCTTTACAAAGTCTCTATTTTAACAGTTTTTTTCTGGTTCCTTCAGGATCTATCGCTGTCTCAATATGCTTAGCAAGAACAGGAAGTGCAGTAAATCACAAAACACAAGTAAAAGAAATCTACCCTTCTTCAAAATAAAGCATAAATTAACCACTAGGTGTAACTGCTGGGCCAATGAACACGAAGGAGAATTTTATCATTTAGTTATTTACAGAATCATGGAGATTTATTCTGGAAAATTTTGAGATGAGCCTTAATGTTTTTTGCTCTGCAGTGGTTTTAGTTTTGGACCTCCGCCATTTTTGCTCAGTCTTTTTCCCACGGTGGACGCTTGAACTCTGAACTTAACTGAGGTTAGTGAGGCTTGCAGTTCTTTAGATGATGATGTGGGGTCTTTGGGTCCTATTGGATGCTCTGTTCTTTGGGTATTTTGGTCAGTAAGCTCCTACTAAAATGTTCACCACTGTTCACGATGCTGTATGCTGGAGACCCGAAGCTTTAAAAACGGCTTTGTAATCCTTTTCCAGACTGACAGATCACAATTATTTTATTTCTTATTTGTTTTCAATTTTCTCAGGATCTTGGCATGATGTCCAGCTTCTAAAGTGCTCTTCTTTGTGTCAGACATGTCCTTCTTAGTTGATTTCTAGATTGAGAGGAATGTGGCTGTAATTAGTCCTGGGTGTAGCTAGAGAAAGTGGGCCAAGGGGCATAAGGTTATGTTCACCTTTACAATAAAAACATTAATTTCATTTAAAACTGCATTTTGTGTTCTTGTGTTTTCTTTAACTGGTATTTAGATTAGTTGATGTTCTGACAATCCTAAAGCACAACTGCATACCTTCTAACAAATTATTAGCTTTACTTGAATTGTATAATATTATTTTCCCTCTCAATATACTGAAAAGCACTTGGCGTGAATTCATGCTCATTGCAGCTGCCCTTTTTATACATTCATCCATCTAACTTTAAAGGGTTGGATCCATCTCTCGGTCCTCAAGGCACACGGCATGTTTCAGATTTCTCTCTGCTTTAACACAACCGACTCAGAGGATCGCAGTTCAGCAAAGCTTGTCAATCTGCTATCAGTTTATATCAGGTTTGTGAAAGCTGGGAAACATCCATGACATGTAAGGAAGTGTGCCTAGAGGACTGGGATTGAAAAACACTTGGGTATGTGACCCAGAGCGCTAATTTACATCATTCTGAGCTCCCCTCAAGAAAAGAGCTACCCAAGCTAGAAAAGTTTTAGTAGGTAACAAAACATATGGGGGGAGACTGATGATCGTTCTTACATATATTAAAAATGTCAGGCATTCTAAAAAATAAGATTAGTCTTAAAACTTTTTATTTCAGAACTAAGCTTGAAGTCTAAAATTAATAAAACAATTGACTGATAATCATGTATATTATTCTGTTAATACATAAGTTATTAAAACAAGTTATTGAAATTACAATCAGAGAAAATGTAAGCCATCGAAGAGAATAGATCATAAAGTTATTGGGATAACGGTATGCTTCCCCCCGCCTGCTCGGTAAGGCAGGCCGGGTTGAGCATGGGGCCGCCTGGTCGGGTTCGGTCGTTCCATCCCCTGCTGGCTCCCTGCCCCTGTCCGCCAAGGTTTCCGGACCAGCCCCAGAGCTGACGGCTCGGTTTTGCTGCACTGCAGTCAACCAATGTTACACACCCTATTCAGAGACATTAAGGACCAGCACTAAATACCCTATATAATCATTCTATGACCCCTTTAAATTAAGAACAGACTGTATTCCAGGGTTAACTTCTATAACTAGATGTTCATCATGAAGTTTTTTATCTTCCCAGAGCTGCATGAAATCCTTAAGTTAATGTAAAGGCTTAATATAGATAGAAATACAAACCCGTGTGTCCTGTGGGTTTTTCCCATGACACACCAGCTGCAATGGATGACTGGAAAGACAGGAATTGTAGTGTTTAGGCTGAAACAACTGTCTATTATGACTCAGACTGAGTCAGACAATAAAGTCTTGAGGAAAGTCTTTTCTCATATAAGGATGAATGTATTACAGTGGTTGTCTGAAAGGAGAATTCTCCAGTGGTTCAGGATACAAGCAGACTAGTAATGTTCGTCTGACAAATAAGCATTAGTTTTTTTCAAGAGAGACGAGGAACTTTACAAATAATTGCAAAGCTGTGTTAAAGCATCAGGAGTTGTTGTGACATTTGCCCTGGTTTGTTGGAAGCATTGCTAAGCAAAAGGATTGCTTTCTCCTGAAAAAAGGGATACTTGTTTAGTAATAAGAGAGAACGTGACTATACAGTCACAACGGAATGTTCACATGCCTTTGTATAGCAATGTTCTCATGCTCAAAATAAAGGCCAACAGGCTTTATTTTGAAATCGCAAAATAAGGAATATGACAAATTAAGGACATTTTTGGACTGACAAAATAAAAACTAATGATTATAAATAATTAAACTGATGCATTAATGGAGTTCCAATAAGATGGAAACATAAGCTATGTTTTGTTTATATTTTTTTTTTCTAAATGCAAATGAACCAAATATGTGCTTTGGTCAGCTGTTAAACAATAAAATCTTGTTTATTTGAATATCTGAGGCAGTTTTTATTAGGGGGGGAAACCCATTTAGATGCCCTAAATGCAAAACTTTAAACTGCATAAACATTTGTAACTTATCACCTCATGCTCATTTGCAATTCTGTCAGTTAAAACATGAACTTGCAACTGGTAACAAATTTTTAAACTATATTCAATTTACCTTAATAGAATATTTTGGGTGTTTTCAATATCGATATGAGGATAGATGATAAAATATTTATTATAATGGCAACAACAATCCATGACAATTATGAAAAATATTCCACGGAATAAATCTATAAAGGTACCATAAAAAAAAAACTATTCTATCTACAGGGTGGGAAACTAACAAAGAAAATACTATACATTTTAAGATGTATTAAGATAAAGAATTAAAGTACAGTGGAGGAAATGCAATGGTTAGGAATGGGATACAGAACCAGAACTTAGTGTACTGTGTAAAGATCATTTCATGCTTTTTTTTACTGTTACTATTATTTCTTTTTAGATTTTTTTTTGTAGTTTTTGAAATAAGTGTATTTCTTCTTCATTAGTTAATAATATTTTTGCTTCATTATTTTGTCTAAGAGAGTTAGAAACTATAAAAGTTACTGTTTCTTTCTTCTGCACTCAGCTGTATGCTCTTCCCTGGAAAGACCTGCTTCTTTGTCTCAGTATTACTTCAGTCATAATTTAAAAACCACGCTTAGGATGCCACATGAAGGAACTTTGTGGTTAATTCCCTTTCTTTTTACCTGTGGAAGAACGTTTCAGAGAGGTGAGTATACACACTGCTTTTTACAGGATGTTTTTTCTCTTATCCAATTATTTATTCTAAGGTGAAAAAATCCCCTAATTTAGTACACCCATCCCTTTTGCTCATTGTCTTCTATACAAATCTAATTTAACAGCATATAAACGATTCTTATGTTAATTAGAAACTACTAGTGGAGAAATTATTCTTTTTTTCTTATTATTTAACAAAAATACTGGCTTGTATTGTTTTCTTACACCCTGCATACTTTTTTTAGGTAAAAATCTATATATCTCTATATCTCTCTACACAAACAAACATACTCATCTTGCTATATTTAGAGAGGACCATGTATTGAATCCCATCAACTTCGGTTGATTTTCATTTTAAATGCTTTCTTTGCCCTAACCCTGACATTAAAAGTAAACCTAACAATTATTTGTGCTCAGTGTGATGGTGATATCATAAAAATGGTCATCACTTTGAGGACTAGAGAGATCCTGAGACAAAAAAGTAACATTTGTTAATTAAGTAGAAGTATAGATACTGCAGTCTGAAAAACACTCTGGTAAAAGTATAACTAACAACTTTACCTGTTTACTCCAGTAAAAGTGAAAAAGTATGTGCTCCAAAAACTACCTAAAGTATAAAAGTATAAAGTAACCTTAAGAAAAAAAAACAGCCAGATGCCACTATATGAATTGAAAGCTCAATTTTTCGACTGTTTTGAAAAATTCTTTGAGATAGGGCCAAGGATGAGGGAGGTCTTGTTGGTCTCCATCTCCCGATACGCTCTTACCTGTGTCCGACCTTTCAGACATTTTAACATCTTTTTCTGAATCCAACATTGTAGCATGGCATAGACAATTCAAGTTTGCAGTTTGAAGAACACCTGCTTGCCTCTGAGGATTTCCTTTAGCTAACCAATGAGTGTTTGCGTTCTATGACTCATCCAATTCCACTAGTTTTCACTAGATGTGGATGGCGCCAATGATCTGCATTCGATGGCGCACATGACGTGAAATAAATATTTATAAACAGTAAACCAGTGGTAACCAATTAAAAATCAGCGGGGAAAATCATCAACCAGTAAAGGTCTGAAGACATTTTTAATAATCTGTTACTTTAAACAGAATAGAAAGAAAATGTTTCGATTTTAAAATCTAAAGTGTTTTTTGAAGTAGAGAACAAGAATCTTTCAGTTTGGAATATAGAGAATTTGCTGATTCACATATTTTATAAAACACCTGAACTGACTGGCTTAATTAGAGTTGTGGGCTTTAGGCTACTCTGCAAGGCTTTAAACCTGGGTTTGAATGGAGACAAAGCCCTGCTGAAGCACATATTAAAGTGCTCATTTTGAGCTTGGATCCATTTATTTTTGATTCTGTTCATGGTGGAGAATCCTGCTTCACAGCAACAGGTTGAGCCAAACATACTAAATGTGCAGCCTCCACTCTGGTCCGGCCAGGTCAAGATCCTCTACTGCAATCGCACCAAACAGGAAAAACAACAGCGAGAAGATCCGGTTTGACAAATTAAAATATAGTAACAGCAGATCCGTAGTAACTACAAATCAGAGCATAATTCTTATATATATAAAAAAAAAAAACTAAGACTGTTTATCTAAAAGTTATGATGCAAACTATTGGTACTTCTACAAAGCAGAAAGCAGATTTCTCATCTCCATCAGAAACTGCACATATGCTGGATGCTGATGGGGATTTTTTTTATATGTCATATAAAATTAAGTGTTCATTTTTGCATGTTTTGCTCCTACGGATATAATAATAATATTGCGCATGCTCTCCTCGAGCTCCAAGGATAAGGCTTTGCTTTGCACAGGAGGTCTGGAGAGCTGCGGAGCAGAGCGGAGACAGAGGATGTGGAATCTGGGGGTCAGACAGCATTTTTTATTTATAAATGTTTTAAATCACGTTGGGTCCGAATTAGCCAGCAGGTCCAGATCTGGACCACAGTCCGCTAATCCATGACCTCTGCATTAAACCGAAGCCAAGAGTGACAAGTAACATCTGTTTTAAAAATGTCAAATTTGGGATTTTAAAATATGGGAATTATACGTTATCCACTCCGAGCCATCCGCCTACCCCAGTCCAGCTCCAGTGTTCAATATAGTTAAACACATGTGAACAAGAAATCTAAAAATAAACAGTAATAGCAGACCATAATAAGTTGATGAGATTTTGACTTCCTTTGCTAAAACCTGTGCTAAAGTTGGAAACTAAAGCGGCTGGTTAAGTGCCCTTTACAGTGGTGAAGATGCACTATATGTTAACTTTTTTTCAGCCCCTGCCCTTGCACAGCACTGGTAGATTTGCAACTCATCCAGTAACCATGGGCTGACCAACTTCTTCTCTGAGTAGTGCTGTTCTTGTTTGGCATTCTGGTTAAACAGGACAGCCAATAGGGC